CAGATTTTCGCCGGATGTACGACTCTTTTTGCTGCCAACTTTGTGAAATCATATAAACATTCTAAAAGCATCAATCAGTTAGAAAATGAGCTTGGCTACAAGAAAAATGCTCAAGAAATCACCTCCAAAAATTTCATACGGATTCATTGAGTTCTCGTTGAGCTAGAGACTTAGAAGTGAATTGATATAAGTCGCGATTATCTTGTAGAAAGTCGGAGAAAGAAATGGTAATCCCGTTTTTGAAAGCTTTTTCATTGAGTTTTTAGCACACTTTTATTATTAGGTTGATGCATAAGTCTTTTCGTTTTTTTCGTACTTCTGTTAAAAAGTAACAAATTCACCAATTAATCTATAGTTTGCTCTATAAAAAAAAGTGTTTTTTTTGTTCAATTTGCATCTTTTTAAATGAATTTCGGTTCACTTTCAAGCAAATTCGAGAGTGAAAAACGCCTTTTTCGTAAAAATCTATAAAAAACTCTACGGAAAAATTGGCTGAATGAATTTCTCTGAAATTTTGGTGAAATATCAAACGTTTTTTTTCTCTATCTTTTATCTATTGACACGAAGATAGGTTTTCTTTAGCTAAGGTGTCTAAACCGCATCATCGAGTTAGCCCTTTTTGACTACCCGACTTCATACTCTCAAGAAAATCCAGGCATTAAATATTTTGAAACCCGTTTTAATGTTATTTTGCAGAAAAATAATTGGTTTTTCTAATGAAATCAACCGTAGTTTAATTGGTGCATTTGTTGGCTTGAAACGGCAGACGAAAAGGAACAAAAAGACTTATGCATCAACCTAATAGAAAGCACTGATTTCAGCTATTTTCCTATTCAACATTGATCTTTATCTTGAATAATGTAATTAGATAGTTGCTGGACAATGCTAAAGGGAAATGCTTTATTCCACATGTCATTGTACTTTTGTCGACAAACGCCAAGAGATCACGGAGGGAAATTGTGTTGCCAACAAGTTTTTGTTTATTGGAGTACAAAATACAAGATTCTTTCATATCAACACAAAATTTGGCAACCTCTTTTCAGAACAATTTTAGCTCAACCTCTAAAAAAATGGCTTTCCCTGAATACTATTTCTTTTTCTAAAAAAAATTGAATAAATTCTCGACACAAGCCTTCTGAATAGATTCTCTATTTCCCATTTTTCCTTCAGAAGACATCTCGATAGGCGATCTCTTTTTCCTTTCGAAATGGCTCCTTTTCTCCTTTTTTTTCCTAAACCCAATAAGGTTATCCACTTGCTTTTCGCAAAAATTTCTCTTTAAAATGACTCGTCTTCGTTTTTGAGCGTTTTTCTTCTTTCAAATTTCCTATTGATAGTCATTGAAGCTCTTTAAATAGCTTTTAATATTTTTAAATAAACCCAGTGTCTTCTAAACTTCTAAACTATAGTAATCTTATCTCTAACTTTATAAATTATTTTTGCTTTGATCTTGTGAATGTTTATTAAAGATTAGTTGAAAAAAACCGATGAAAAGATTACGATAGCTTTTGAAAGTGATACTTTTTAGAAAACACTCTAATCTCGTCGAAATTTAAGACTTCAGAAGAAAGTTTTAAGTTTCAAGTGCTTGATACTGAAAGAAACTACAACTACAGTTAATTCCTATTATACTTTTGTATAGTACAATTGCGTTTCTTTCATTAAATTCTTTCAAACTTTCATTAAGTTTAAAGATTCATCAATAGTTCAAAGATTTACATAGTTTAGTATAAAATTCTACTTGCTACCTTTTTCAAAGAAAATCCTGGGTTGGTGCTTTAAAGTTTAAAGTGTGGTAAAACTACCGTACCTCTCCTAATTTGCGCGAAATTTCATTTTTTTCCATTCTTATTCATTTCTTTTTATTTTTTATTCTTTTTGCGTTTTTTTCAATGTTTCAATGTTTCAACATTTCAACGTTTTTTCAACTAAAAAGTCACAAAAACAAAGTTCCCGTCATAGAAAATGATAAAAACCACTTAACTTAACATTAGTTGGCATCAAGTTCGTGAAGCAGATCGTCGAGAAGCAAGTGGGTCTAAAAAACTCTACAAACAAAGCTTCTACCGTAGAGAATAATAAAAACCACTTAACTTAACATTAGTTGGCATCAAGTTCGTGAAGCAGATCGTCGAGAAGCAAGTGGGTCTAAAAAAACTCTACAAACAAAGCTTCTACCGTAGAGAATAATAAAAACCACTTAACTTAACATTAGTTGGCATCAAGTTCGTGAAGCAGATCGTCGAGAAGCAAGTGGGTCTAAAAAAACTCTACAAACAAAGCTTCTACCGTAGAAAATGCTGTTAAAAACGTAATTTAGCTTTGTCCTCTTTGTTTCTTGCAAAAACAAACACGAAAAAATCAGAAAAACGCAAAAAGAATAAAAAGAAATGAACAAGAATGAAAAAAAAATGAAATTTCTCTCAAATAAGGAGGGGTACGGTAGTTTTACCACGCTTTAAAGCGCCAACCCAGGAGTTTCTCTGAAAAAGGTCGCAAGTAGAATTTTATACTAAATCATGCAAATCTTTGAACTATTGATGAATCTTTGAACTTAATGAAAGTAAAATTCTAGACTATTGCAAAGTTAGGAATAAAATAAACATCTGCATTTCAGTTTTCTAACATTTTTTTGCTTTTTGGTCACACTTTTAAATCCATTTTTTTTTATTATTTGTCTAGTCTATTCTCTAAAAACTATGAGAAAATACAAATTTCTTTTTTTTTTGGAAAAAAACTACTAAAAGATTTTGTCTAAAAGAATAAAAGATTGCGAGTTTTTTTCTTTGAGTAAAACGAGTTCGAATTTTTCTTTTTTAAGTGGTAAAAAGGGCAGGAAGTGCGTTCGAATAGACCGGGGTGCTTTTTCTGAGTTCCAGCTTTATTGAGCTTCTAAAAAACTTTACACCTAGATTTTTATAAAATAAGATTGAGTTTAGTAACTAATCCAACTTTAAGTTCTATATTTATTCATATTATTCGTCGTATTCCATTTTCGTCCTATTGTTCATTATTCTCCACATTTCTTGAAGGAAGAAAGGGTTGCCGGGTTCCTTCTTTTTCTCTCCTTTCTTTTGATTCTTTCTTTTGATTCTTTCTTTTGATTCTTTCTTTTGATTCTTTCTTCTTTCTTCTTTCTTTCTTCTTTCTTTTGCTTCTTTCTCTTTTCTTTCATCTCCTTTTTCCAAGCCATTAGCTAACTATTCATTTTTGAAATGTTTACCTTTTTTCAATAAGTCCAATTACTAATTCCTGACTAGTAAATGGCGTTTCAGTTTCGTATAGGAATGTAGAATTCTATAAAACCTTTAAAAATTTCTTTAAACCTTCCTTTACACCTTTTCTTTAAACTTTAAACCTTTTCTTTCTTTAAAACCAAAAATTCTATAAAACCTTTAAAACAATCTATTCGATCAGATCGATTTCAATAAATTTCTCTTCCTACCTAATAATTCCTATTCCAAACTATTTTCTAATAACTTTAGATTAAAATTTAAACTGTAAACTTCTTTAATTGGGAAATGGTTAATGAAAATCTTGTACTTTACTTGTAAACTTATCTAGTTTAACAACATCAGCTTCCAGAGCCTTAAATTTGTCATATTACCTCTAAATTTAAAATAGAAATAATCCACTTTTGTCGTTTTCCCTTCATCTAATTTTTGATTGGTGAAAAGCTCCAAAAAAAACTTTCCTTACACGTTTTGTTCTGCGGGGAATTCGATTTGCGCAAATCCACCCTTTCATTCAGTTTTCTGATGAAAAATTGGAGTTTTTGAAAAATCCAGTTTACATTGTGAGTTTTTGGTCATTAGAAATCAATAAGATGTTTAGTTTTGATTGAGAAACCCATGCGCTTACCAGTTTTCCGTTTTAAAGCTTCACTAATTTTACAAAGTTTTCCAACAAATAATTCGAGCTTTGTGTTAAGCTTTAATATATAATAATTAATCATATTATATTCAAGAATTAAAGTTGAATAAGTTAAAGTCAGCGTTGGCCTTTTTCAAATGTTTTTCTTGGGATGTAGTTTAAAACAGCGCCATAATAGAAAACGTTCAAAACAGTGCCGTCAAATTTCTCACAATCCAAAAAACCAAGCCGGTTCAAGTCTTATATCAAAAAAAAATCCTTGCTTTTTTGGCTACATGATGGGTGAAACAGTTTTTTAAAAAAGTTAATATTTAATAGAGAAAAAAGAACGCTTAAAATGGACCTCTAAAGATATTCAGTTAACCAACTGAGTATTACTCGACACTTGAGAAGCATTTTGTAGAAAAAAGATAAAACCTCTCAATAAAATAGTGTTTTGGTCGATTCACCGTTTCTAGAAAGATCAATCTCTAGAATTTCTAGAAAGATGAAGATAGCAATAGTACTTGTTGTACTTGTAGCAACAGTACTCAATCAAATATTTGACACTGTTTTAACTATATCCCTTTTCTTTGAACATAAAATGAAGTTCTTTCCTTGAGTGCATCCAAATCGGGAGAACACTTTGTGAAAGGCATTAGCTATGCTAATTTTTCCCTTTTCCTTCCCTCTTGAGGGGTCATCCCGGATCTCTCCTTCAGACTTGAGCCTAAATGTTGCCGGCTACACCAATTATCACATTTTACAAAGCCGTTCATTTTCCATAAACATTCCGTTCATTTTATACTCATTTTTTTCGGTGCTAAAACAATCCCAATAACAAAAGCACTGGTGTTTTCGGTATACTTGTTATCGGTTCCAATATGGTTCCAATATGGTTCGGATACGGTTCCAATATGGTTCCGTATATGTTAACACTAGTTATTGAAATCTTGGGGTAAATCTCCGGAAACATTCGTCTAATCCCATCACCATGTTATTTCATTTGCTGAAGTTATTCTATTCTTGTGATTCCTGGATTTTTCTTTTCTGTTTTTCAATAGAATATCCCTTTCTTTCAGTCTGGCATTTCGTCTTTTCATTTCCTTTGTCCTTTTGGGGACATTTCTCCCCTCGATCGATCATCGATGTTGCCATGGCTGATGACCGCCTGTATTTATCCGTGTGTGCTCGGTCGGTGGATGGGGAAATGGAAAAAAAAATACATTTGAAAAGCCTTATCTAGTAGATAAATTTAAAAATTATAATCCAAACACATAGGCAATGAAAAAATGGTATTTAAAGTGTGTTCTTTGGGGGTAAAATTTGCAATTTAGTTGGGGGTGGGACAAATGCTACCTTTTTTTTGCGCACCTGGACATTTGTGCACCTTTTCTTTGCTGGAAAAGGCCTTAGGAAAGGTCGTAGAGCTTCAAAAATGTTTTCATAGAGGGGAATCGTATGCGTAGATTCAGAATTTCGACAAATCAGTCCTCGCTGACACGTCAAATTTGGGCTAAAAGGCCAAAACTGCGGAAAAGCGTTAAGTTGCGTAGTTTTTGCCTTTTAGCCCATTCAGAATTTCGACAAATCAGTCCTCGCTGACACGTCAAATTTGGGCTAAAAGGCCAAAACTGCGGAAAAGCGTTAAGTTGCGTAGTTTTTGCCTTTTAGCCCAAATTTGACGTGTCAGGGAGTGGCTCTACGACCTTTCCTAAGGCCTTTTCCAGCAAAAAAAAGGTGCGCAAATGTTCAGGTGCGCAAAAAAAGGTCGCATTTGTCCCACCCCCATTTTTTTGACAAAATTTTAATTCTTTTTCAGAACTTTTTTCATTTTCATTTTTTCTAAACTCAAATTTTCAAAACTACGTTAATTTTTTTCCAATTGTGCGCTTTAGAAACTCATTACGCGCGAGGAACACACTCTAATGGTGTTCAAAACTGTTAAACTGTCGATAGTAGGCTTTTCTTACAACCAATTGCTAGTAAAGTCTGCAAATTGCAATCTTAAAATAGTAGAAACTTTGCATTGCACAACTTTACTTTCTTTATCAAAATCTTATTTTTTAGGTCCCGACTTCTGGGGACTCGTCAATCGGGAGTGGCGCATGTGCACAAAGGGACAAATGCAATCACCGGTCAACATCGATCCATCACTCTTGCTCTTTGATCCACATCTGCATGGAATCCATGTTGATAACGTCCAGGTAAACCGTTATGCTAAATTTATCAGTCAATTTCTTATTCTAGTTTAGTAAGTGAAGGTTTATTAGAAAATTGATGCTTCAAATTACTCACGATCAACTTTAGGTTGATGCCCTTCTGGAAAACATTGGCCAGTTGCCGATCGTCACGTTGAACAACAGCAAGCTGACGGTGAATATCACGAATGGCCCCGCGGCACCGTATCGATATCGGCTTCATCAGGTGAATAATTTGCAGAAAATGTTTGAAAGTTTGAATTGGCGCAAAGATGAAAAGGTCTTACAACTTGTTATTAAGTTGTTGAAGAAGTCTTTTCGTTTCTTTTCGTTCTTTCGTTGTAAACTAAAAACTTCACCAATTAACCGAAGATTCTCTCTAAATAAAAGGTGTTTATTGTTCAATTTCCCATCTTTTAGCATCAATTTGGATTCACTTTTAAGCAAATTCGAAAGTGAAAACGTGTTTTTCGTAAAAATCTACAAACAAATTAGCATATGTTTTTGTTAACAAAGCTTTTAGGCAAAGCTCACAGAGCAATGGTATCTTTGATAGATAAAAATACGGGTACTGGATGAAATTAGAAGAATGATACATCAAAAATAAAAGATCAAAAAGCTATTAGGCTGTCCAGAAAGTCTTTTCGTTTCTTTTCGTCCTTCGTTTAAAACCTACAAATACACCAATTAAACTACGGTTTATTTAATTAGAAAGACCAATTATTTTTCTGCAAAATAACATTAAAATGGATTTAAAATGTCTTATGTCTGGTTTTTTTTGAGAAAAAAGTCGCAAAGAGAAAAGGGTAGTCAAAAAGGACTGCTCGATGATGCGGTTTAGGCACTTTAGCTAAGGAAACCTCCTATCTTCGTGTCAATAGATAAAAGATAGAGCACAAAAAGTTTGGTATAAAGTCAACTTTTCAGAGAAATTCATTCAGCCAATTTCTTCGTGGGGGTTTTTATAGATTTTTACGAAAAACACGTTTTCACTTTTGAATTTGCTTGAAAGTGAACCGAAATTGACTTAAAAAGATAAGAAATTGAACAAGAAACACTATTTATTTAGAGAAAACTATAGATTAATTGGTGAATTTGTTATTTTTCAAGTATTTTGAGTCATTCGGCATTTGGCAAATATGCTCCAAAACAAAATTTAGAACTACGGTGATGCTTGTGTTTTTAGATAATCGTTCACTTCGGCAAAACGGACGGCGGTGAGAAGGGCTCCGAGCACACGATCGATCGCGTGCGTTTCCCGGCCGAGATTCAACTGTTAGCTTACAATTCCGAGTTGTATGACAACTTCACGCAAGCACTCTCCAAACCGAGGGGCCTCTTGGCGATTGGGATCATTGTTGATGTGAGTTTGGGACTAAAGCATTTCTTTTAAAACTACTTAAAAGAAAGAAAGTACCTGAGCGATTTTAAACACAAATTTGCAACTTTTAGATCGGTCATACCACGAATCCAGAGTTGAGAAGGCTCACCGTCGCCTCGCAAAGCATCACTTATAAAGGTCAGAAGGATGCACTTATTCTTGACTAACGAGTTTTCTACAAGGTACCTATTATAGAAAACTACTGCCGTCTCCATTCGTACTGCCAGTCTCCATTCGAGCAGTCCAATTTTCGTTTCATTGTTTGAACCTTGTGATTCCTCATCGAATTAAACGAAAATTGGACTGATCATATGTAAACTGGCGGTTTAATTACGGGTATTTTTCGAAAATAGGTGTTTTTTTTTGTAAAACGAGTTACGCAATAGAAACAGTAGTCTCATTAGATTAAAACGATATTTTCAGGCACAAAAACCCCGCTAACGCGTTTCCATCCAGCGGCGCTGTTGCCTCGAACGGCTCACTATGTCACTTACGATGGTTCACTTACTTTCCCAGGTGAGTACAGGCAAATTCTAAGGTTTTGGAGCTGCAAATTAAATATTTCCATCTCTTTCTTCTTCCTTGTCTTTCCTATTTCTTCTTGGGTAAATAGAGCGCCGATAGCCGAGTGGTAGAGCATCTGCCTGGTAAGCAGAAGATCGAGGGTACAACTGTTCCTCGGTACCAAATTCATTTCTTTACTTTATTATATTCTCAGGTAAATACAGGCAAATTCTAAAGTTTTAGTGCTGCAAATGAAATATTAAGCAGTTTATTGCATTAAATATTAAATAAACAGTCAATGAGGATACTTTATGTGTTCAAAAAATGCAAATTTGCGTACCTTTCAATTGCTATTGCATGGCTATTGCCAAACCGGGTATTCATATAATCTTTATCGCATTTTTGAGCTGCAGAGGAATTTTCAGAAAAATCTACTTTGAACATGATGTTATAAAATAAAATAGTCGCTGGGTATTGTATGATCATTAAATGCTAATTTGACTGTGATTCCTTCAAGATACGGTAGCCAAATAGGCTTAAATCTCTTCTGAATCTACTTATCCTATTACATTTAGGCTGTCACGAGACGGTCGTCTGGGTGATCATGAACAATCCGATCTACATCACCAAAGATGATGTGAGGTTTAAAAAAAACGATTCAACTTCGATATGATTCACTTTTCAAAGTTTAATATTTTAATCTTTAACAATTTACAGTTGGCCATTTGGAATGAGCTGCAAAAGACGGAAACGAAACAGTCCGAGCCCTCCTACATGACGCCTGCATATCGACCACTGAAAGCGCTAAATGGCCGGCTGATTCGAACAAATATCAACGTTAGCTATAAGGTGGGCAAATGGAATTACTATATAAGGTGCAGCAGAATTATGGGAACTCAAGTCTAACTCAAGTCTCGAGTCTAACTTAGTTCTCAATGCCTCAAATCAAATAATTCTTTTTTTTGCTAGTATATTCTGAGTTACTTGCTCTAGGGAAAAATTATTGGATAAAGGTAACTGTTTCCTAAAAGTTCTGATGATTATATAAAGTACACGCGGGAATGTCCGGCTGAATGGTAATATTTCACGATTTTTATAGGTGATTAGGTAGAAAAGAAAGAAAAGAATTGTTTCTTTGATTGAATTTCAATGTTTTATGACTATTTCTTGAACATGTTCAGCTTTTTGGGCAATCGTAATCATAAATGAGAATCGTAGAACAATTTAAAGAGGTTCCGCCGGGGAATTCCCGACGCTCGCACTTTGAATAATTATCAGAACTTTTAGGAAACAATTACCTTTGTTCAATAATGTTTTTTCTAGAACAAGTAACTCAGAATGTACTTGTAAAAAAGAATGGTTTGATTTGAGACATCGAGAACTGAGTTAGACTCGATAAATCGATAAAGTTATCATAATTCTGCCGCACCCTGTAACTACAATGATTAGGCTAATATCTAGGCTTACAATTGACCAGAAAAACTATCCAGAAAGTCTTTTCGTTTCTTTTCGTCCTTCGTTTAAAACCAACAAATGCACCAATTGAACAGTAATGAATTTGTTGGTTTTAAACGAAAGTAAAAAAAGGAACGAAAAGACTTTCTCGAAAGCCTAATAGCTTAGATAACTACAATGATATTCGATTATTAAAATGATTACTGTAGATAGAAATGTGCTTTAGCAAGAATCCCCGGCGACTTGTCAATCGAATCTCTACACAGAGATGGGCTATCGGGCGAACGCTCGCCCTATCATGAACAACTCGATTCATAAGAGGGAACTCATGGAACAAGAGGTTGGGACTTTCTGAAGTCTTGTACTATTCTAAATCTCAATATTGGTCTATAAGAGTACCGAAATCTAAAAAAAAGAATCATAATACAATTACACTAGTTCCTAAAGTAGCTAATTTTTGAAAGCTCAATCGACTTCCAAAAATTTGAATTTGCCAGCTCAGCCAGCTGGCCATCTTTGGAAGCAAAAACAAAGCTAATCTAGTAAAAGTTTTGTGTAAACTCATGCCCACTATTCCAGGTTCTCTCGTGGGACTCGTTGAGCCCCGTCTGACAGCTTTCACTCATTCAAATATTTATTAACATTTATTAACATTTATTAACATTTATTAACATTTATGTGATTTCTTTGTGCAAATGATGCCCTTATATTTTGCTCTTATCCACGAGAAAAACGGGTCAATTAAATGTTTTTTTGTGTGTGTGTGTGTGTAGAAATTTCTTGAGCTTTGATAAAATTTTTTGCAAACTACAACATATTAGAAGATAAATGAAATGGCAAAATAAAATGGTAGTAAAAGTTTTGCGCAAAAAGCAAAGCAATTTGGTTCTTTCTTGCGGCGGTGACCCGTGGGAAAGATAAGAATTGTCAAGAAAAAGAAAGGAAAAGGAAAAAGGAAAAGAGTGACCCCGAAAATAAAGGACACAGACATAAAAGATAGAACAGATAGCCAAAAAAATGGAAAAGAACGATGGCATTGGTTTCTTTTTCAGCTCAGACTAATCGTTTACATCGATTTCATCGTTTTTTTTTCTTGATTTTCCTTATGATCTTTTTTTTCTTTACTACGGCCTCGTCACGTTGAAACACGGATCTCGTCAGATCTGCCAACTTAAGCAACGTTGGGCTCGGTTCGTCTCTGGTTTAAATCCAGCAGATGAGTCAGGGATATCTTCCCTGAATCGAGCTGTAGGTAACTGCACCCATTTGGTAAACTTTGTTCCCAAGACCGGTCCCCCTAGGCCCCTTCCCCTCGGGATTGGGATAACCAGGGATCCAAATGGGTAGACTTGTCTACCCATTTGGATATAAAGCTGATATAAAGCGGGTAGCCTTCTCCTCCTACATCATCTCCTACATCGTCTTCTACATCATCTCCTACATCGTCTTCTACATCGTCCCATCCTCACAAACGATAGAATATTCCCTAGGTCTTAATGTGTAAATTGTGATTATGTGTGCGCGAAATAAATCACCGGTATAGATTATTAATTAATTCTAAAAACCTTCAAAATCTTCAAAGCTAATAATAATTGCTTACTATTTGAATTAGAACAATTTTAAAGCAAAAGCCAAACTTGCTGGATAGTACGAGGTGGTACAGAACTTCAACTTTATTCTAAACCTTCGAGTACCTTTCATTTGATCTTTTTTGGTTTTTTTCTGGTTTTTTTTTCATTTTTCATTAGAAAGACCAATTATTTTGCTTGAAAGTGAATCCAAATTGATGCTAAAAGATGGGAAATTGAACAATAAACACTTTTTCTTTAGAGAAAATCATCGGTTAATTGGTGAATTTTTTAGTTTACAACGAAAGAACGAAAAGCAATGAAAAGACTTATTTAGCAACTTAAAATAACGATATTCTTGCTGAATTTTTCTTTAGAACTTTCAATTGCTTTTTATTTTCTTTTTATTTTCCTTTCTTTGCATGTATTGAAAAAGCTCTTTTTCATTTGAAAAAGCAAAAAGCGTAATTGTTTAGCAATCGGGGAATAGACTTGAAAAAAAAGGAGAAAAGAAAAAAAAAGAGCGCTGTAATGGATTGACCATTTGGTCCTCTAGATTCGCTTTAAGATTTTAGTTTCTCTTTTATCCTTAAAACATTTATATTTTATTTCTAAATTTCTAGATTTCAAAACAAATGTCTTCCGGTGAGAGCTCGACGATTTTTGGCTTCCCTGAGTACCCAAAATTCGAGCGCAACAAATCACGATTCCCACAAGAAACTTTTCTTGGCAGGTTTGTTCGTTGTAACTTTAAAAATTAGTGTTTTTGTTTGTAAATTTCGAGTTTATCTTAGAGGTTGTCTTAGAGCTTGTCTTAGAGCTTGTCTTAGAGCTTGTCTTAGAGCTTGTCTTAGAGCTTGTCTTAGAGCTTATCTTTATGTAATTCTTTAAAAGCAATCTTACTATCATTTTTCAAATTCTCAAGCCATTAATTTTTTAGCCATTCAGCATTTTTCATCCATCTCATTTCAGATATCTTCACTACTTGGATGTGATCGATCCTAGGACATTACTGACAAGTGATGTAAGTAACTTTATTTTTGTGAAGAATGCCTTTTTAATTATAAGTATATCTATATCAGTATTAATTTAAGTCAAAGAAAGTTTTCTAGACGAAATTGAAAGAATGCGTCGAGTTGTTGAAGGCGCATGATGAGGGAAAAGCCACCGGCGCATCGGATCGACAACTGTGGCAAGCGCAAAAAGTGGGATTTTCTAGAAAAATGATAGTTTTTATTTAAGAACTTGCTAATTAGGTTACCGTATTTTCTCTAATAGTAGTGCATCCCAGGGAGCCGAGTTGATGACTATTTTACGGTTACCAATTTTTCCCAGAAGCTCAAAACTCTAATCATCGTCAAGATCTCATGGTCAGCTACATTTTCCGACCCAACATCGATAGGTTCTGATAAGCGGTTCTCGAGATTTCGAGGAATTTAGGCAAGCTTATGGACTAGTATTAGGGACGAGCTTCTTTGAGATCCTTTAGTTAGTTACCAGCTACTTTAAGCTTTGTTGGATTTGTTACGGTCGATTTGTAGCCGAGTTGATGCCTATTTTACGGCTTCCAAAGTTTTCCCAGAAGCTCAACACTCTAATCATCGTCAAGATCTCATCGTCAGCTACATTTTCCGACCCCACATCAATAAGTTGTGATAAGCGGTTCTCGAGATTTCGAGCAATTTAGGCGACGCTCAGGGTGCACTACTATTAGAGAAAATACGGTAATTACATTTACGAATATTGATTTACAGATTAAAGGAGCAATCTTGCATCCGGATACCGGCGAGAAAGTGTTGCCTCCGTTTCGTATGTCCGGTTTTGTGCCATTTGGATGGATTACTGTAAATTTTTTGAATATTTTAGAATCAATTTGTTGTTTTTACGTTAAAATCCCCTGAAATAAAACAAAAAAGTTTGCGTTTATCAACTCTGGTTTCTCGCAAAGTGGGGAAAGCGTTTTGTTTTAGTGCGTCATGTTGCGCGTTCGATTCCACGAGCAAAATTTAAGCTTATGAGAGTTATTCTATTGCAAGAAATAAGCTAATAGATATTAGCTAATAGCTAATAGATTCTTGATTTAAATATTTATTTGACTGAAAGTCTTTTCGTTCTTTTACTTTGTACTTTCGTTACATTTACGTTACAAACGATTAAAGCCGCCCTTTTTGTCTACCCGACTTCACACTTCCAAAAAAATCCAGACATAAGACATTTTGAACCCATTTTAAATGTTATTTTGCAGAAAAATATCTTTCTAATGAAATAAGATAGCTTTCTAATGAAACAAACCGTTCATTTCATGCATTTTTGGTGGGGGTGGGACAAATGCGATCTTTTTTGCGCACCTGGACCTGGACCTGGACATTTGCGCACTTTTTTTGCTGGAAAAGGCCTTAGGAAAGGTCGTAGAGCTTCAAAAATGTTTTCATAGAAGGGAATCGTATGCGTAGATTCCGAATTTCGACAAATCAGACCTCGCTGACACGTCAAATTTGGGCTAAAAGGCAAAAACTACGCAACTTAACGCTTTTCCGCAGTTTTTGCCTTTTAGCCCAAATTTGACGTGTCAGCGAGGTCTGATTTGTCGAAATTCGGAATCTACGCATACGATTCCCTTATATGGAAATATTTTCGAAGCTCTACGGCCTTGCCTAAGGCTTAGGCTCAGGCTTAGGCTTGGACTTAGTGCGTAGGCTAGCGGCTAGCGCCTAGCACTAAGTCTATTTGGGTTTGGGCTGAACCCCCCTTAGGCTTAGGCTTAGGCTCAGGCTCAGGCTCAGGCTTAGCTTAGGCTTAGGCTCAGGCTCAGGCTCAGGCTTAGCTTAGGCTTAGGCTCCAGCAAAAAAACGTGCGCAAATGTCCAGGTGCGCAAAAAAAAAGACGCATTTGTCCCACTCCCATTTTTGGTTTCAAACGGAAGTACAAAAAGGAACGAAAGGCTTCTAGACAGCTTAATATCATTTTTTTTGATGATTTTGATGATGATGTAGAAATGACTAAACTAAATTATTTTCTTACATTTTAGACTTCAGACTGAATCAATTTATCAAACTTTAGGCTACTAGGTTGGTGCAAATGAAATTTCGCTTTTTTTACAAACATTAAAGTCATCCAAAATTTTTTTAGATAACAATTTATTTAAAACAATAAGCACCATTATTATCTATGACATCCCTCCAACGTTGCTACAGATTGCGGATCCCCTTCTCAAAGAACGCTTGATTCTGTGATGCAAAGTAGTTGGTCACCCAATTTTCGACTTCTTTTGCATTCTTAAACTGGCAATTCTCAAGGGAATGTTGCATCGATCTGAAAAGGTGAAAATCGGAGGGTGCTAAGTCTGGACTATACGGCGCATGTGGTAAGACCTTCCATCCTAGCTTCTCTAGTTCCTTACAAGAGGTTTTTGCCGTGTGAACTGGAGCATTATCACGGAGAAAGTTGATAGTTGAGGGATTTAGGCCTTTTTCACGCAAAATTTCGTCAACCTTCTTGAGTTGTTGAATAAAATAAGATGAATCGACTGTTTTTCCGGGCTCTAATAATTCAAAATGAACAAGTCCATTGATATTCCACCAGCAAGACAACATCACTTTGCGCCCATGATAATCCGGCTTTGGAGTTGGTATTGGCGCTTGACCTTTGCTCAGCCATTGCCTTTTCCGAGAAGTATTATCAAAGTGAATCCACTTCTCATCCATCGTCAAGATATTCTCAAAAAAATGGCTTCTTTTCGACTTATGGAGCAAGATATGGCTGATCGGAACGCGTGCTCCCAGATTCTCAACACTCAATTGATGTGGAACCCATTGTCCATTACGATTTGTCTTTCCAATTATTTCCAAATGGCGTACAATTGTTGAATGATCACATTGGAGATGTTTGGCAAGTTCTCGTGTTGTTTGCATTGGATCAGCTTCAATTAATTGTTCCAATTCATTGTTGTCGATGGCTGTGGCACGATGTCCATGCGATTCGTCTTCAAGGGATTCATTACCATCTCGGAATTGGGCAAACCAGAGCTGGCATGATCTTTCGGTGATAACCTGTTCTCCAAAGGCGGAACAGAGATCACGACGTGAATCAGCAGCGTTTTTGCCCATTTTGAAGTCATAGAGAAGACACGTGCGCAGAACATACTTTTGATCCACCATGATCTAAAGCAAAAATCAATTAAAAAGTGAAAGCTCTGACTTTGAAAAAATGCGAAAATAAAGTAAATATCCAAGAGTACAAATGCACAAAAGAACATCAAATAAGCTCTTCAGATTAAAAAAATAAGAACATTTTATATCGACCGAAATTTCTTTTGCACCAACCTAATATAAAATAGATAATAGCTTTGGATAATAAATTGATCAGAATAAAGAATGAAACTAGGTGACGGGTATGTTGTTACCAAATCCCTCGTGGCCGACTCTCCTCTTCTGGCAATGGATCAATCAGTCGCACAACGCTTGTGTCAACTATGCGAATCGAAACGCTTCACAGGTGCGTTTAAAAACGCAGCAAACCACAGATTCAAATTCACATGCAAAACTTTAGCCTCAACCAATCTCGAAGTACGTGGGTGCCTACTTTGCCGCCGTCACCTCAGCGTGCTCGATTGCTGGCGGTGATTGAGTCAAAAATTTTTTTCCTAAACCAGCAAATGATCAAATTTTCCTTAATATGTAAATTTCTTATTAGTGAATTTAAACAAAATCTCAGGTTTAACCTATTTCATCAAAAAGGCCAGCTCATTGCCGCCAACGACGCGAATGATCGTGCAAAGGTTTGTGACTTGAATTTTGACTTGACGTGATTTGAATACGAAAAATTAGAGCCAATATCTATTATCTAATTATGGGAGTAGGACAACAAATACTACCTTTTTTTGCGCATCCGAACATTTGCGCACCTTTTTTTCCGCACCTTGCCCATTAGCGCACCTTTTTCGCGTTTTAAAAAAGCTCTAAAAAGGTAATATTAACCAATTTCTATTCCAAATGTTGTTTTTCTAGGTAATTTGAGGGTGTCGAATTCAAATTTTGACATAACAGAGCGTGTGGGACCAATTTGAAAGACAAAACGGCTAGATCAAATTACAGAAAATTGTCGATTTTTCTCTTTGTATAACTCCGTCCGTTTGTTTCCACGAGCTCTGATATGTCAAAATTTCGATTCTACGCCCTAAAATTACCTAGAAAAACAACTTTTGGAATAGAAATTGGTTAATATTAGCTTTTTAGAGCTTTTTTAAAACGCGAAAAAAGGTGCGCTAATGGGCAGGGTGCGCAAAAAAAAGGTCGCATTTGTCCCACTCCCCTAATTATGAAATATTTCTTTCCGACATATTTCTTTTATAAATTATCGAATTTTATTAGATTTGTCCCATTGCCAGCGACTTCGTTGGCGTCATCGTTGAACGTGTTGTGCATGCGTGGAAGCGAGATGCAAACAGGAATTGAGGTTTGCTAATGAAAAACAAAGCAGTTACTTTGAAAATAGAAATGAATAAGGAAATCTATCAATTATTTGGCTGTTAAGTTCATTTTTAATAAAAAAAATCGTTATTTCAGGTCTACGATCGCCAAGGCCAAGTGATCGGCGTGAGTAAAGTGGCGGCGAAACAGGTAAATGACCAAAATCGCAAAATTTTCTTAAATTTCTATATTTTCTCGGTTCTAAAGTCTTCAATCTAACTTTTGTTATCTAAATTTTATGAAAATTCATTTAAAACTCATTGCTGAATCGATTCTAAAGTAAATCCATTCAGGCCGTCTTGGACACAACACTGACTCGAGCCTTCCTCCCAGTTCCCCTACTCGCCCTTCCACCATGTATAATGCCATTTTTTGAGAAGTTAATCTTAAATCCAATTTCGATATCAATTCTGTAATTCCCAGGTTCTCATGGGTTCAAAAATCCTCGGTTCGTCATTTGTTAGTGAACGCGATTGTGTGCACGATCTCTTTCGGAATCTCGCTACCAATAGCGCTCGCCCTTTTCCCGCAAGAGTCAACGGTTTGTTTTAGAAAAGAATTCGATTTTAAACTTCATATAGAATTGTGAAAAAGTACCTTGAAATAGTTTTTAAAAATTCAATTTAATCGCAGTTTTGATTGGCAAGATTTTTGTACAAGTAGAGAAGAATTAAAGATTTGCAAAGGATAAAGTATTGTAACTAGTAATATTGTAACTAGTAATGAACTTTACAGGACCAGATCAAGCTAGAAGCCAGCTAGAGCTAGACTTTATCCACAAAAAGTGTTTGTTTGGCCTGGACCTGGTTCTTGACCTGGACCTGGTTCTTGGCCGGGACCTGGTTCTTGGCCTGGACCTGGTTCTTGACCTGGACCTGGTTCTTGACCTGGACCTGGTTCTTGGCCAAGCCCTGACCCTGCTTGACCTGGCCTGGCATTGTTAAAAGGCTTTAGACCCTAGAGTCCGGTTGGAATATCTCAAGGTTTAATATCTCAACATTTAGATGTTTTAAAATATGATGCAATTTCTAGATCTCAATCGATCAGCTTGAGCCCGAGTTCCGCGAGAAGACCAAATCCCTCGAGCTCTACTATAACAAGGGTCTATAAAAGGAAATTGATTCGATTTTTGTAAAGAGATTATGTTAACAAAGAGATTATATTAATAAAGTGATTATATTAATCAAAAGAGATTATATTAATAATTTTATAAGAAAAAAAGAGGAATCTTTACGGTCATCGGGGGGGCTTGGGTGGGAAAAAGAAACATTTTTTGTCTTGCCAGCGTGATCGAAGCTTCGACCTTTCGCTTAAGAAACAAGACTTCTAACCGCTTAAAAAACATGACTTCTAACCTTCTAACCATGACTTCATGAATCTAATCATCTGGCCGATCGGTTAGGAGTTTTGTCTAAGCCAGATCTAGGTATACTTGAAAAACAAACTTTTCAATTCCTCTCTTTCATCTTTCATCACAAATCTTTTTACTTCTTCTTTCTATAAATTTCTTTTATTCTTTTAATGTTCTAGTTTTTAAATCATCAAAGAAATCAACTTGATCTTGTTGTTGAAGACCAACATCACGACATTCTGACATCACGGCGAGCCTTGAAAAATCAACGAGACATCAACACAATTTCATGGCACTGCAGCCATTACCCCTATTACCCTATTAATCAAAATGTTGTGAAAGAAAAAAGCCACTTAGGTGGGAAACAGAAATCTTGTCTATTTCTTATCTTGTCAGCGTGATCGAAGCTTCGACCTTTCGCTTAAGAAACAAGACTCCTAACCGGTCAGCCATCTGGTCATCTGGCCGATCGGTTAGGAGTCTTGTCTAGGCCATATCTAGGTATACATGAAAAACTCACTTGGTCGGGGAAAAGAAACATTTCTTGTCTTGCCAGCGTGATTGAACCTTCGATCTTTCTCTTAAGAACTTCTAACCGCTCTTAGCGGCTAGAAGCAACTTCTAACCGAGACTTCTAACCGGTCGGCCATTTAGCACCGGCTCTTGGCACCAAAAAGCACGACAAAGAGATTAAATTACGTTGTAAAACTGTTAGAATTGAATTTTTATTTCAATTAAGCTACTCTTAAGGTTGAAATTTCATTAATTCCAGTGTTTTGTAGTGGTTTCACTCGATTTCTTGTGGTTTCACTCCGATTTTTAACCGATTTTTTAACAGATTTTTAACCCTCATTTTATCTACGGTTTCTTTTCACTTTTAAATGCAAAATTTTCTCAAACATTTTAAAGCCATAAAAATAGTTTATTATCAAAGAAAAAAGAAACCATACAAAAACAGATTACAAAATAAGAAAAGTTAGAAACAAAAAAAGGTGAATTCGATGCGATTTTTGGACAACGATCGATGGCTAGTTTTCGAGGAAAGGAAGAGAAAAAATGAGAATTATGCTAATTTTTTTTTTGTTTAAATTTAATTTTAATTTAAAAACACAAACATTTCGACAAAATTTCGACATTTCTTTTTAAATTTAGATTTAAATTTAGATTTAAATTTAGATTTAAATTTAGATTTAAATCTAGATTTAAATTTAGATTTAAATCTAGGTCACAATCTCCAAAAAATTTCATATTTTTTTCGAAATTTTTGAATTTTTTGAATTTTTTGAATTTTTTGAATTTTTTTCTATGATGAAAGCCGAATCTCGAGATTGGGACATAGATTTTTTGCGGAAAAAAAGCCTTTTTTTTGGATTCTTTATGAGATTTGTGGCAAGAGTTAGAGAAAAATAAAAGAAAAAAAAAGAAAAAGAAAAAAAGAAAAAACAATTTTTACAATTACAATAGTTTGGGCATTATTTAATTTATCAATTTAGAAAGCTTTTTGCAATTTTTGAACGTTTTTTGTGAGATTCGAAGAGGCTCTTAGGCTTGCTTTAGGCTTGCTCGACGTGCTCGCCACTGAAAATTTTGATATTTTAATATTTTAATATTTTAATATTTTAATTTTTTGATATGCAAATTCTTCTTTTGTGCATTTCTCTAGACAAATTTCTTCTCTCATGCTAATAGATATAGTGAGAATGTGGCTTTTTTGGATACTGTAATAAGTAAAGTGGTTACGAAAAGAAGAATCTTTTAAAAACTGATCTTTTTCTAGAATTGTTCGGTTTTTTTCAAACTCCCATCTCTTAAAAAACACTCATTACAGTACACCAAACAGAGTGTTCAAGCGACAGGACTGGATGCTTTTTATTTGAAAAATATTCAGTCAGCTGAATATGATTTTCTTTTAATATTTGTCAGCTGAATACATTTTATCCTAAAAAAAAGACGCAGAAGGTCAGCCACCGGGCTCGAACCAGGCCCTCACCCTCCGACCCCTCGCCTCGCATCCTAACCCACTGCCACTCGGCCACCAAAGCAACTGGAGGGGGTTCGGAAGATAGGCTTATAAGACAGGGTTCTAATGTCCTGGCTTGAAACTGTCGCAGAAACTCTTACAAAACTTTAAGCGCATATAACTTTTGACAGAATGCTCCGTAACAAAAACGAAAAGCAGATTCGGAATCAGCCTGAAATTCTGCGTTGATTTCTCATTTGATTTGGCTCTCATCCAGTTAACCTTCCCTTGTTAGCAAGACACAAAACTGTTGCTTTACAATATCTTTAGAGTTTTTACGACAAGACAGAGCATTCAGCTTTGAGAAACAAATAGTGAAGGTCGAAAAACGTTTCACGGTGCTAATTTCAAAATATTCAGGCAACAGATTGAAAGTTCGGCTCTTTCATCAAACTTTACTTGATTTTGGGGCAGAAATCGCTTAAGCGGTGTGCATTTCGACTTCTTCGCCCCTAACAATGAAAAAGTAACAAAGGTTTTAACTTATTGAAAGATTTTTAGAAAGTATACCGTATTTTCGATAATAGTACTGCAGATTTTTGAGATTTCGAGCGATTTAGGCAAGCTTATGGACTAGTATTAGGGACTAGCTTCTTTGAGATCAGCTTCTCCTTCTTAGTTGCCAGCTTCTTTAAGCTTTGTGAAGAAAACACGATAGTTACCAGCTTCTTTAAGCTTTGTTGAATTTGTAGATTTGTAGCCGAGTTGATGACTATTTACGGCTTCCAAAGTTTTCCCAGAAGCTCAACACTCTAATCATCGTCAAGATCTCATCGTCAGTTACATTTTCCGACCCTACATCGATAGATCCTGATAAGCGCTTTTCGAGATTTCGAGCAATTTACGGTGCACGTCTATTAGGGAAAATACGGTAGATAAATTTTTGCATAGCTAATTTGTTTAAGGGCAGTAACTCACGTGCTGGTGAGCGGCTTTCTCTCTTCGGTTTTTTCCGATTTGCCGACAATCACGTAGCGAGTCTCCTCCTCTTTAGTTGTGTGGAAACCGATGGCGAATTGGTAAACCTGAGAAAAGGTTGTTGCTTCATTGCTTTAACAGCTATTCTAGCACAAGATTTAAAGACAATCTTAACATTTTCAGGGACTTTCTTGTGATCTTTGTGCTTAGAGGTGGAAAACATTCGATTTGTAACGAAAACATAATCGTTTTTTTTTTGCCGTTGGCAATCTAAGGTTTTTTTGTGTTTTTTTTTCCAGCACTCACCCTTCTATCTTGTCTATTTTGACTATCATTCGATGCAGATTAAAAATGCGCGTCAAATGATACAAAAATGAACTCAAAATCTAATATCCATGCAAAGTTGTTGGTTAAAAGCCTATTATGAGCGGGACTTAACCTTTTGCCTCATAACTTTGTATGGATATTAGATTTTGAGTTGATTTTGGTATCATTCAACGCTCAATTTTAATCTGCATCGAATGATAGTCAAAATAGATAAAAATAGATTGAAAGGCTTTGATTCGCAAGAAAGAAATCATTGCTAAGCATTGAGTTTAAAGTTCGCTGAAGAAAAATCGCCGACTAAATGCGAATCAAAATGCGTATTTAGTATTAGAATATAGTCTCTAGAAGGTACTTTAGTTTTAGAGTAGTATTTTCAATATTTTAAAGTATTTAAAACTTTTCCATGACTTACCCAGGCTCCAATGAGTGCTCCGATGAATGGCCCAACAATTGGCACCCAGAACCATCCCTTGTGACTGAAAATTTCTTTTTTTCTACATCTTTAAATGAAATTCTTTTTGAATTAAAATTTTCGATCTATATTTAAATGCCTAAATTCAAATTCTTCGGTAATGAATTTCCTCTTAATTGACTCGTGAATTGATCAATATTTGTTGATGGGTTTTGTTGATTTCTTTGAGAGTTCACCGGAAGTTTTTAGCCTGCAATGATTGCACATTTCAAATGTAAACAAAACTCTTTCTTCTGTTTACTGAAAAATTCAAATCCTTTTGCTTTCTTTTAAGAAATTGATCGACGATGAAAGGCTAAATGGCTAGACTGTTGCCACTTTTAGATGGCTAGACTGTTGGCTAGACTATTGGCTAGACTGATGCCACTTTTAGATGGCTAGACTGTTGGCTAGACTGTTGGCTAGACTGTTGCCACTTTTAGATGGCTAGACTGTTGCCACTTTTAGATGGCTAGACTGTTGGCTAGACTGCCAATTTTAGATGGCTAGACTGTTGCCACTTTTAGATGGCTAGACTGTTGGCTAGACTGTTGCCACTTTTAGATGGCTAGACTGTTGCCACTTTTAGATGGCTAGACTGTTGGCTAGACTGTTGGCTAGACTATTGGCTAGACTGTTGCCACTGTTCTGAGGTAGACGAGAAATTCAAATCCTTTTTTTGCTTTCTTTTTAAGAAATTGATCGACGATGAAAGGCTAAATGGCTAAACTGTTGCCACTTTGTATTCTGTGGTAGAGAAATTTGTTGTTTTTTTTTTTCATTTTCTTACTCAATAAAGCTAATATGCTAATTTGTTAGTTCATTTAAAATCTACTAATCTGCTTTATAGTTAGTGCTTAAAGCTTTATAAATTGCTTTATAGCTTTATATCTTTATAAATCTATAACTTTATAATTGTATAATTTGTAATTCTATGTAAAGTATTAAAATTTTAAACTCTAACACCATAAACTTCAAAAAAAAAAGCTCACGTGAACACATCACCGCCGTAGAAGAAGAAAGTGAAGAGACGAGGTCCGAAATCACGAGCCGGATTACATGGATAGCCACAGTTGAATCCGAAAGCATTTCCGATTGCGACAAAGGAAAGACCTAGAGTTTTCATTTTGATATATCAATATCAACTTTAATCAAATCACTTACCGACGAGGAGTGGTTGAACCCATGATGGATAGGAGTTACGCTTATCGGTGATGTGAGCGATCAAGAAGCAGAAAACGGCCGTGGCGACAATCTAAAAGAATAAAATAATGAAAGAAAAAGAATGAAAGAAAAAGGATTAAAGAAAAGACTAAAGACTAAAGAAACGAAAGATTCTCTAAAAAAAACCTGGTCAACAAGTCCACCGAAGAGGCTGAGATGGCCAGCTGGGTAAGAGGCCCAGATACCAGCGCTAGCCTTGCCTCCAGCAACCAAACGAACTCCGGGAGAGAAATTTTCGATAGCCTCTGGAAAAGACTTTGGTTATCGATTAGATTTGAAAATTTCTAATGGTTTAAGCAATGGCAATGGTTTAGGCAATGATTTAAGACTGTGATCTGTAACGAAAGTTCATTTAAGACTTGTTCATTCAAGTTCATTTTAAAATCTAAGCTTTATATCTTTACAACAGCTTACCATGGTAGACAGCATAGGTAAGAGCAGCTCCAACAAAAGCTCCGGCCGTTTGCACGAGAGTGTAGAGAATGAAAGCGACTGGGGAAAGAGCACGGAATGAGAGGAACATAAGGGAGACGGCTGGGTTGATGTGACCACCTGAAAGCTTATGGACTAGTATTAGGGACTAGCTTCTTTGAGATCAGCTTCTCCTTCTTAGTTACCAGCTTCTTTAAGCTTTGTGAAACATAATACCAATATATTGGATGTCTTGCATAGGTTTAGAGTAACAGATATGTTACAGATCTTTCACAGATGTTTAACTTATCAATTAACTTAGCTAGATAACTTGATTTATCTTTGTTTTTTTTACTGTAAGATAGTCTTTATATGTACCTGAGAGTTTAGCCGAGACGGCAACACCAAAAGCGATGGCTAAACCAAAGCCAACATTGACTCCAATGAAGTCGTTGAGGCGAGGACTTGGGAGGATATGTTGAGCCACAACAGAGGTGCCAATGAGCTGAATGAGAAGATATTATTGGATTACTTTTGTAAAAACATATTTGTATATGTATAACATATTAATTCAGTGACAGTTTTTGTCTTTCTGTTGACAAGATTTGACAAGACAAGACAAGATTAATTACCGTATTTTCTCTAATAGTAGTGCGCTCTGAGCGTCGCCTAAATTCCTGGAAATCTCGAGAACGGCTTATCATAACCTATTGATGTGGGGTTGGAAAATGTAGCTGACGATGAGATCTTGACGATGATTAGAGTGTTGAGCTTCTGCAAAAGCTTGGAAGCCGTAAAATAGGCATCAACTCGGCTACAAATCGACCGTAACAAATCCAATAAAGCTTAAAGAAGCTGATAACTAAAGGAGAAGCTGATCTCAAAGAAGCTAGTCCCTAATACTAGTCCATAAGCTTGCCTAAATTGCTCGAAATCTCGAGAACCGCTTATCAGAACCTATCGATGTGGGGTCGGAAAATGTAGCTGACAATGAGATCTTGACGATGATTAGAGTGTTGAGTTTCTGGGAAAACTTTGAAAGCCGTAAAATCGTCACTAACTCGGCTCTCCGGGGTGCAGTAGTATTAGAGAAAATACGGTAGTTATTGAATCTAGCTTTGCCCTTTGATCATCGACCAGTTTTATCAGTTTTACCAGTACCAGTTTTATCAGTACCAGTTTTACCAGTACCAATTTTACCAGTAAAGCCTCTTTTCTTACTTTAAACATCAATAACCATTTTATTCGTCATTTTATATCCTTAAAACTTTTCTAATCATTAACTTTTACAGATTCTTTTATCCTTTGAAGTTCCCCGATCATCTGGTTCTCATTTCAGATACGGATCTGTTCCCTGAAGTGTTTTGAGTAGAGATCTTTACACTGCTCACACCAGAAAAAGACGATATTATGCTGAAAGGAGCGGCTGGACGAATGCCAAGGTCTCACAGCGTCATCCCCCCCAACATTGGTGCTCCTTTCAGCCTTTTACCCTTTTCCTTCCCCGATTTACCCCAATTCTCTTTCCCATCTTTCTTCTCTCAGTCATTCATCCGTTTCTCCATCCCCCGAAATGGTGTCGATCTCTTTTCCTTTTCTTTTCCTCGTCGTGCACAGCTGTCCACCAGAAAGTCTCCTCATTATCCCAAAGCTTTGCCCCCTTCTTCTCTTTCTTTTCTTCTCCTTAACCTCTTTTAAATCTTCCGTTTGATTTCCATCGGTTTCCCAGGTTGACCGATTAGTGACACCAAGAAAGAGTACAACCCTGATGCCATTTGAATGGATTGCATTTAAATCGGCGGTGGATTGGGTTCAAAATGAAATAACAGAAAGGATTAGGTTTTAGATTAGATCAATATTTCTAAATAAACTTTTCAGTAAAGTATAAACAGCGACACTTTATTGATTTTTGTATACTGTACCAGGGACAGGTTCAAAATGAAATTGAGCCTAGTTTCGATCTAGAACATATTTTAAAGGTTCAGTAGGTCAATACATTAAAGCCATCATGAAGTACAACTACTACTTACGCTACTTGCTAGAGTACTGTCTTTGAGATTTTAGTTTTGGACTTACAATTAGAGTCCAATAGAGCTAGTAGATCTAGTGGATCTAGTAGATCCAGTAGAGCTAGTAGATCTAGTAGATCTAGTAGATCTAGTAGAGCTAGTAGATCTAGTAGATCTAGTAGATCTAGTAGATCTAGTAGATCTAGTAGATCTAGTAGATCTAGTAGATCTAGTAGATCTAGTAGATCCAGTAGATCTAGTAGATCCAGTAGATCTAGTAGATCCAGTAGATCTAGTAGATCCAGTAGATCTAGTAGATCCAGTAGATCTAGTAGATTTAGTAGATCCAATAGATCCCCCAAATACGTTCAAAGAACACATTGCCCTTTTCCAATTTCAAATCCCGTTTGACCAAATTCCCATTCATTTCATTGTCCAATTTCGTCCAGTTTTGGCAAAGCCACCTCGATTTTTCATTGAGTCCCTCGTTGATATGTGGGTGTCAATCCCCATATTTGTATCCCATCCCAGCTACTAATAAGCATGAAGTGGAGGCACGGTTCCCATGGTCACTCGGGGGCAACATTGAGAGACACAGCCACTCCCCGACTCATACTAATTCGAATACATATAGTCAGTCGGCACGCGAATGCACTGACCGGTCAGAGAATGAGAAGAGAATGAGAAGAAAATGAGAAGAGAATGGGAAGAAAATGGAAAAGAGATAAGCTTCTCAATAGTACCCTCAATAATACCGTTCTCGTAAACAAATTGATTGTTGGATTGGTAGATTCTCACTGGCAAATACGGGTGGACTTTGCGCTTAAAACTGGAAACAAATCCTCCCTAGCATATGTCTTTCTTTATACTGTTACAGTAACGATAAAGAATTGAATATATTAGAAAGGGAACGTTTCCATTGTTGAGCTCAAAGTACACTGAAAGCCTCTTTGGCTAATCTTAGGTTTCAGGCACCCAGTAGAGGAGTTAATCAATTCACCAAATGATGACTGAAAGAGAAAAGGGAAAACAAGTGCCCCTGTGCCCTATATAGGGTCATCGTGGCCTCATTCTAGCCTCATTCTAGCTGCATGACCACTCTCATTTCCCTCTTCTCCCACAGCTGCCTCTTTCTCCAATCATCCAGTGAATAGGAGAAAAACAGGTGGATTGGGATAGTGATAGTTAATGAATAAAAGTGGGAACAGATCTTCTCTAGCATACTTCCTTCTTTATACTTCTTTATACTCTAGCATACATCCTTACTGTAGCGATAAAGAATTGGGTTTATGCTTTGAGAGCTAGAAGATTGATAATGAATAGATTCCAATGCAATAGTTGAGCTAACACAAGCCTCAAAAGCTTATTATGACCTTGTAAACGTTCATTCTATAAAGTTGCCCTTGAATAGGGAAATTTCTTTCAAATACCCGCTGAATTCTCGTCTTTGATTCCTTTGAAATGATTTGGGAGCGACAGAAAAGTCTGTGGTGGTTTATTTCAGCTCCAGGTGGCACTCATGAGAAACCTTTTGACCCTACCGCTTTTCCCTCTCCTTCAAAATACAATTTATGGGGACGATTTCAAGGGAAAAAAAGATGGCTTTTGTTTTGTTTTTTTTTGCCTTAAACTGGTTGTATGAATAGCTAGAATAGCTAGATAGATAGGATAGCTAGATAGATAGAATAGCTAGATAGATAGGATAGCTAGATAAATAGAATAGCTAGCTAGATAAAATAAGCTAGCTCAAAGTAGCTTTAGCACTAAGCCAGTCTCCTAAATCTCCTCCAAAAGCTTAAACGATTACTTGATTGAACAATGTACTCAAGTTTTTCATCTCATAAGCCTCAAGTTTTCACTTTAAGCTGAGCTAAACTTGACTACAATGATCAGTCGTGCCTAGTACAAGTCTAACTGGAGTGTAGAGTGTGTTTAGAACAAATTAGACTTAGATTTTAGCTTTAGATATTAGCTTTAGATATCAACTTTATTTTAGTTTTAGAAATTAGCTTTAGATCTTCAGCTTTATTTTAGCTTTAGATAAAAGAACAGATGATTAACCGCTGGAAACAAGTTGAGCCGGCACTGATGACTTCACCAATACATCTCAATCTTTTTTCTAGTTTACAACCATTCCTCTAGCTATCCATTTTTTTCCAAATTTTTATGCCATTTCCCGACTTTTCCCTGTCCCAATTCAACAGGTGAATGAAAAGAGGGAAAGTATGAAAAGACGTTTTCTTGGTTTTTCTTTTTGTTTCCTTTTCGATTTCGAGCATAAATGGCCAGTCATGGTAAAAGAAGATGGGCAAGAAGAAGACGGGTGTGCATGGAATGTCACTGATCGTACAAAGAAAAACTTTACGCAAAGTCAAGGAAGAAAACTGTCTTTTGTTAGGAGAAAAATGTGAAACGATCAAAAACGAGGAGGATCTCACTAGAAGACACAGAGTCAGGGTCTTTTTTTTTAGCTTTAACAGCTTCATCATACTCAATTTAAGCTGTCAGCTCTGAATCTGATCTGATCTGAGCTGATCTCCTCAGAATGTATGATGAAGTAGTTAAAGTTCAAAAAAACTGGACTCCATGTCTTCAGAAATTGTTCAAAAATGGTTCAAAATGGTTTAGAATCGTTCAGAAATGCTTAGAATTGTTCAGAAATGGTTAGAATCGTTCAAAATGGTTTAGAATCGTTCAGAAATGCTTAGAATCGTTTCAGATTAACTGTGTTATAGTAATGGCTTGAGAAATGAACTTAAAAGTTCAACCATCTAACTAATCTTATTGGCTTTTGAATAGAAGACTTTCCCTGTCATACTTTAGCGCTTAAATGTTATCTTCATCTCAATTCAAAGGCTATTGTAGTGACCTTAAGCTTACTATTAGCTTCAGATTTACTTCAAATGGCTAATCAAAATGGCTGACTGAGATTTGACTGAGATAATCAAAGTGATTGAGGTGAATTCAAAGAGTCAAAGATTTCTTAAAGCCAGTTTTTAGCTCTATATAAAGTATTTAGGCTAGATATTATATGATATATTGGGTTGGGGAGAATGAGTCGGCGCCGAAAATCAAAAAAATGTCTAAAACTTCTATTCGACTTCGTCAAATAATATGCGTTTGATATGAGTAGAATGGTTAACTAATTCTCTACAAAATGACATTTAAAAGAAAATTCAAACAGCGCCTCCGCTCAAGAAAAAGCCATTTTTTCACAAAAACTACAAACTGTCATCTAGAAAAAACCATTGTTGGGATCTTCCTGAAAATTTGGTAACTTATGTAATTGAGTGTGCTCTATCTTTTTTATATAAACACCAAAGAAGGTTTATGTGAAAGAAACTGTTCAAATGATGAGTCGGACTCTTTGCCATTTTAACCAGCTGCGTTTGGAAGTTCATAAACTCCACGAAAGAAAAGCTTTGTAGAATCTCTCAAAAGTGATTTTGTAGAGAAATAGTGGATCGTTTTGATGAAACCAAACGTATGTTTAAAGAAGGCTTTATGTGTGCAAAAAGTCCCTTTAAAGTTTGGCGCCGACTCATTCTCCCCAACCCAATACAATAAGAATATTGCTTTTATTAGATTTATTATATGTTTATTATATGTTTATTATCTGTTTATATATTTTTATGTTTTATTTTTTTATGTTAGTATATGTTTTTCAAAGACTCACCACCAAGACGAGAGTGCCGATGAATTCGCCGAGAAGCGCTCGTCCCAATTCGTGCTTTACGTGAACCTTTACTCGAAGACTCTCCATTCTGAAAGTATAATAAGTAACTAAGTAACTTTTAAAATAACCTTATAACAAATGAAAAGTTTTAAAGAAAACAACACTTTCAAAGTACAAAGGATTTCAAGAAAAAGAAGAAAAAGAGGCTAAGGAAAAAGTCGTGTTTGTGACACGAGAGGATTCCGAATTGAACCCAGGAAAAAGGAAAAGAAAAGCTTGTTTGTGGCACATTTAAGGGGAGAAGGCAAGAGCTGTTGTTGATGAGAATGGAGAATGGAGAATGGAAAGGAATGAGAGATAGGCTTGATTGGTTTTTTTAGTCTTGCAGTAATTGTACACTTGTTATTTAAACTTGCAGATTTCCACTTGACTTTTATGAACTTTCTTTAAATTTATGAGAAGGTTAAGATTAAAATCCAATTCGACTCAAATAGAACTTTAAATTTAAATTGTATCTTTCTTTTAAAGAAAGGATGGTATTGTTTTAAAGAAAGGATTGTATTGTTTTAAAGAAAGGAAGTTGTTGGACTTGTTTAAGCTGGAGAAGTAGCTCTAAGCTTTGAGCTGGAGAAGTAGGTCTAAGCTTTGAGCTGGAGAAGTAGCTAGAAGCTTTAAGCTGGAGAAGTAGGTCTAAGCTTTAAGCTGAGCCTGAGCCATAGCTTAAAGCCAAAACTGCACTAATATCTTGATCACTTAGATCAAAGTTGATGCACTTAAACTGAATTTAGATCACTTTCAGAGCTCTGAGATTGAATTTATTGAACTTATAAAGTTAAAGGAGATAAATTCGTTTTAAAAGGTTGAGTTAGCTAAAGAGTTAGCTAAAGAGCTAGGTAAAGAGTTAGCTAAAGAGCTAGGTAAAGAGTTAGCTAAAGAGTTAGCTAAAGAGTTAGCTAAAGAGCTAGGTAAAGAGATAGCTAAAGAGCTAGCTAAAGAGCTAGGTAAAGAGCTAGCTAAAGAGTTAGCTAAAAAAGAGCTAGGTTAGCTAGAGTTAGCTAAAGATTGAGAAAAACAAGAACCAAGATTGAGAACTCATGGAAGAGAATTGAATGAGTTTGATGAAAGATTGAAAAACTTAAATCCAATAAAGTATAACATTAAGCTCAAATGATTTTCTGTGAAGGTCAGTGAACGAAAATTGGATTGAAATGAGTGAACCGGGGGAAGGGAGGGGAAGAGTCGCCATAGAGTGGTCAGAGGTTGGGAATGGGGGCGGGGCTTGGGAATGGGAGCCAGCCTCCACCCACTGACCCCCAAACAACAATAAATCTAAACTATTACTTTAATTAAACGTTTAAACAATACAATAAACAATTCAATAAACAATTCAATAAACAATCCAAGTACAATTAAACGTTAATACAATAGAAGTAAACAATACAAGGTACAATAAACTTAAGTTCTTTGATGGACAGGTTCTTTGATGGGCCTAACTGGCCTTGGAATCAAAATCTTTAGACTAAGCCATTGTTAGACCATATTTAATATTGAATTCTCTTGATTAGACCAGCTTAGACAAATTAGACAATTAATTAGGCAACTTTTCATGGTTTTAAAATGATCTGAAAACTGTAAACAATTGAGTAAATTGTCAACTTGTTACACTGTTAACACTTTTAAAGAAAAGAAGTTGTTGGACTTGTTTAAGCTGGAGAAGTAGCTCTGGAGAAGTAGCTTTAAGCTGAGCCTGAGCCATAGCTTAAAGCCAAAACTGCACTGATATCTTGATCACTTAGATCAGAGTTGATGCACTTAAACTGAATTTAGATCAAAATTGATCAATTTAACTTTTTTTTGAAAATAATATAGTCCAAAATTGAATTCAAGCCAAAAAATCTCTTTTTTTACCCGCTTTTTGAATGTTGAGGCTTTAAAACAAAGAGGTAATCTTTAAACGAGTAAAGTAAACGAGAGTAAAGTAAAGAGTAAAGAGAGTAGAGAGTAAAGTTAAGTTAAAGAGAAAAGCAAAAGAAATGGCAATCGCAAATGGAATGAGTTCAGAAAAAGAAAGATGGAAAAGGAGAAGAGATTGATGAGTGATAGGGCCAAGAATGGAAGAATGGAAGAATGGAAGAATGAAAGAATGAAAGAATGGAAGAATGGAAGGAGGGAAATTTGAAGGCTGATGGGCCAAAAGGAGGACACCCTAGGGACCCTAGGGACCCGGTCTTTTCCCTCCAAACATCACTAAGTTTCATCTATTTCATCTAGATCTAAATCTGAAATTAGTCAAAATCATTGATTGAAATGCAACAAGTTGGATTGAAAGTTGGATTGAAAGCTAGATTTTAAACATGTTTTTACGATCATCTAGCGTGATTCGGTGTGCAAGTCGATCACCTATCCGACCCGTCTTGAAACACGGACCAAGTCGATCACCTATCCGACCCGTCTTGAAACACGGACCAAGTCGATCACCTATCCGACCCGTCTTGAAACACGGACCAAGTCGATCACCTATCCGACCCGTCTTGAAACACGGACCAAGTCGATCACCTATCCGACCCGTCTTGAAACACGGACTTGCGTATGCGCGAGTCATTGGGTGGAAAACCTAAAGGCGCAATGAAAGTAAAGACCGGCTTTCGATCGGTTGATATGGGATACGTGCACTCGCTGTGCGTCGCACCATAGCCCCGTCTTGATGGCTTGCGTAGAGCCATCGAGACCATCAGAGGTAGAGCGTATACGCAAGGACCCGAAAGATGGTGAACTATACGTGAGTAGGACGAAGCCGGAGGAAACTCCGGTGGAGGTCCCTAACGATTCTGACGTGCAAATCGATCGTCTGACTGGCGAAAGACTAATCGAACCATCTAGTAGCTGGTAGCTACATAAGAACTACAAGAGTCTAAAAATTAGACCTAAGTAAAGACCTAGTAAAAGAGACTTTATAGAGACAGTTCGAAACTTTAAATGCTCATAACTTTTGCCAGAAAGCTGTTTTGCCAATTTTGGAAGCAGATTCAGAATCTCCATGAAAAACTGCGTAAGATGAGCCAGAGTTTATTACAGAAGGCCATCTTGATCTTTTATATTTGGCTGGCTTGGCTTTATTGGCTTTTCAAAAAAAATAATTTGATAAATGATTGGTGTTTCTTTTATATTTTATATAAAACATATCACCCCGTAATTAAGCTACAAATTTAGCAACTTTAGTCGACAAAAAAGTTAACACGAAAACGAAAATGGAAACTGTCAATTTGGTGAATGTTGAAAAGAATTTTTAGGCAATAATTATACTATAATTTAAAATCTATCAGTACACAAGGCTAATACAGCTTCAAACCAAACAGCTTAAAACTAAACAGCTTAAAACCAAACAGCTTAAAACCAAACAGGTTAAAACTAGACAGGTTAAAACTAGACAGGTTAAAACTAGACAGGTTAAAAGTAGACAGGTTAAAACTAGACAGGTTAAAACTAGACAGGTTAAAACTAGACAGGTTAAAAGTAGACAGGTTAAAACCAAACAGCTTAAAACTAAACAGCTTAAAACTAAACAGCTTAAAACTAAACAGCTTAAGACTAAACAGCTTAAGACTAAACAGGTTAAAACCAAGTTAAACTAAACAGCTTAAAACTAAACAAGCTAAAACCAAACAGGTTAAAACCAAACAGGTTAAAACCAAACAGGTTAAAACTAGAAAGGTCAAAACCAAACAGCTTAAAACTAAACAGCTTAAAACCAAACAGCTAAAGTCTAAAATAAAAACCCGTTCCCCGATCATTGAGTCCATTGAGCTCTAAAACAAGCCATAAAACCAAAGAGCGGAGAGCCGAGATTTCCTGGCCCTGGATGGAATTGGCTGTTTTTTTTGGCTTCCTTTTCTAAAAAATAAACAAAGAAAAAGACTTGTAGTGTTCATGAAAATTGGAAAGAAATGAATGAAACTGTTACAAACTGTTCTAACTTTAGTTTGAAGTTGTTGTCTTTGACTTTGAGAAGACTTTGAGAAGTTGTTCTTGAAGTTGCTATTGATCCGGAAAGTTCAATTTGTTGATTCAATTTAAATCAAAACTGTGAAGTTTGGATTCAGGGTTAAGGCTTAGACAAGAACTATCGTACACAAACAAAGTTTTAGTTTTAAACAGTTTTAACACAAAGTTTTAAACAAGAGTTCCCAGGAAACCTCTGAAAAAAGCGTTGCCTGAACTTTGGATCTTTGGCTGTTACTCTTAAGAAATACAATCCAGGCTTTTGAATGAAAAGGACTTTGAATGAGAAGGATCAATTCTTATAAAGCTCAAGAACAGGCTTAATATAAAGCTTAATCTTTTGGTTAAAGATTCGATAGAATTTGAACTAAGTGGAAGAGTTTTCTCTAGGTTGGGCGGGGTTTTTTACATCTCAATTTTATCTTTCCAAATTTTTCTGTTTTCTAGTTGTTTCTGCATATACAAAACAACAAGGAAAGTAGTTTTTTTTTTCTGAAAAAAAGGAGAAAAGAAAGGAAAGAAAGAAAAGAAAGGAAAAGAAAGAAAGAAAAGAAAGGAATGAAAAGACTAAAGTGTCCTTGACTCCCTTCTTCTCCTTCCCATTCCCCGATGCGCTCATAAAAAGACACAAGAATTGAAAAGAGGCCATTCTCTAGATATCTTTAGTCAACGAAAAACAAAAAAAAAACATTTAGGGGCTTAATTTTACAACCAAAATCTTTCTAAGTTCTCTCCTTTTTTTCTTTTTTTTGCTTTACGAATTAGCAGTGATACAGAAATTGTTTAAAAAACTGACAGATGAATTTAGTAGTAACCGTCAAACAATTTCTGTATCACTGCTAATTCGTGGAGCAAAAAAAAGAAAAAAAGGAGACTTTAGTAGTAACCGTTAGTAACTTTTATTCTATTTTTATTAAAAGTATTATTTATTTAAAGATCTATACACTATGTTATAGATATAGATAAGTTTTTGAATCGATTAAATGAGTACGATAACTGAATGATGCTTTAGCCTAGTCAAGTCTCAAATTCTGAGCTAGAGTACTTTGAGCTCTGAAACGTACCCGAAGCTAGAGTACTTTGAGCTC